GTATCTTTGATGTTATTACATGTGATGTCTTATTATCTGAATGGTTGTATATACACATCATGTAGAATTATGTGTGTATCTTTGATGTTATTACATGTGATGTCTTATTATCTGAATGGTTGTATATACACATCATGTAGAATTATGTGTCTACTGATTCTCTCCTCTCATTATTAAACAAATTATTTATTATGCACTTTCTGCTGTAAATAACGTCATTAATAACTGGTAAGAAAGTGTTCAAACTGATCAGTGAATAATTAGAAATGATCTTAATCAAGTAAACTCCATAGAATAGTCTGCATAAAGAGTGACAAGTGAATAAGAGTGAAAACACGCAAACAAAAATGTGGTTTAACTATAATCTACTTGATTGACATTTGTGAATGTGACATTTGCATACAACATTTCATAAAATTATACAGAAAGAAAGTACATAGTAACTATAACATTGACTTTGTTGATGAAACTGAGAAATTTAAAACTTTTTTTGTCACAAAAATTTTGACATTTTAGTTGTGAAATGTGGAAATCAAGATGTTAATACCAGTCACAACACTACTCTTCAACACAAACTGTCACTGTTGACAAAATTTAGAAATCATGGTGTTAATGCCAACCACAACACTACTCTTCAACACAAGCTGTCACTATTGAAAACATTTGAAAATCATGGTGTTAATACCAGTCACAACACTACTCTTCAACACAAACTGTCACTGTTGACAAGATTTAGAAATCATGGTGTTAATACCAGTCACAACACTACTCTTCAACACAAGCTGTCACTATTGAAAACATTTAGAAATCATGGTGTTAATACCAGTCACAACACTACTCTTCAACACAAGCTGTCACTATTGAAAACATTTAGAAATCAAGGTGTTAATATCAGCTACAACACCACTCTTCAACACAAGCTGCCAGCATTGAAATCTGTATTTTTATACTTTCTATTTAAATTTAAAAGTAGCCAACATCATTGAACTAAACTTTCACATGATGCAGCTGACATAACATTGATGAAGTTTTTGAACACAAACCTGTCACATGCAGGACAAAATATGTGTACAAATTGTATGTGTTTTGTTTCTGATCTCTTGGCTGTCTCTATCACTCCACTAGGAGCACTGTACTGTAAATTGATACCAAAATTTCTATCACACAGCCACATTATGAGAATGTTCTATCAGTCAGTGGATTTTCAACTTTTTAATGTTGCCCAGTTATTTGCAAGATTTACAGTAATCTGGGTAGAATGTTTGGCTTGGTCTAGCTTTTGTAAACAAGTGCTGCTATATTTTACCCCTGTACAACAATGAAATATTCTCTACATTTTGATAACTTGCATATTACTACTACAAATTTTGACCAATCAGAATCTTGTTAATATGTTTCTCCAAACTTAGAAAATAGCATGTTTATGGCATAGATTTATGATAAAAAACTTTGAAAATATGCTTCTTAGCTTAATTTAGTAATGGATTGAATTTAAAGTAATAATAAAGATTATCAAGCAGCATGATGAAGTGAGTCAGCAAAGCTGCTTGTTCAAGTAAAAACAACTTCAGGTGAGATTGGTTAGGTAAAGAACTAGAAATAAACCATAAATGGTGAAGTCAAAACTGAGAGAGTTTACCAGGAAAATCTTTATGCATGATATGTAAGCAATTTGTAAACTATTCTTCACAGGATTGTTCTATAATTTTGACCTATGAAACTATGAACTGACTAAACAAGTGTGAAATTTTTATATCTGTTAAATACATGAAACAAAAGGCAGAATAATGCTAATTTTCTAATTATTTCAGGCTCCTGGGCTCTTCTAGTCAAGGTTAATGTGGGTTATCTTGCTCCTGGACTCTCCTAGTAAAGATTATTTTGGGTTATCTTGCTCCTGGGGTCTTCTAGTCAAGGTTAATTTGGGTTATCTTGCTCCTGGACTCTCCTAGTAAAGATTATTTTGAATTATCTTGCTCCTGGACTCTCCTAGTAAAGATTATTTTGGGTTATCTTGCTCCTGGGGTCTCCTAGTAAAGATTATTTTGGGTTATCTTGCTCCTGGACTCTCCTAGTAAAGGTGCTCAAGCCTAGAACTCAACATATTTTTTCTCCCTTTCTCAACCATTACTTCTACCAGCTTAATGTATTGCATTGTTTGTGTTGCAGATAATTTTATTGATTGGAAACAGTCTACAAACTTCCTGAATATGAGCACATTTATAGTTTTGTATTCAAACCCATAACCAAGCAGTTGGCATTCGCACTCACTTGTTAACAGCTTTTCAAAATTTGTGAGCTTCATTACTCCGCCAAACTCAAAAGCAAGAGAAAACAAACCATATTGGTAGCAATAAACCACAAGTCAAGAATTAAATATTATTCCTTTAACTTTTGTTTTCATTTCTATTCTATAATTTTATTGATAATAAGAGTGATCCAAATGAATATCTATATATAAATATATACACAAGTGTTTTTCCTGTTACTTCTATCTGAACTTTATTCAAGATATGTACATCTGTGTGTTTATTTAATTATTTCTACCTGAACATTATTCAAGATATGTATATCTATGTGTGTTTTTATTTGATTATTTCTACCCAAACTTTATTCAAGATATGTATATCTACATATGTGTTTATTTGATTATTTCTACTTGAACTTTATTCAAGATATGTATATCTACGTGTGTTTATTTGATTATTTCTACCTGAATTTTATTCAAGATATGTATATCTACATGTGTGTTTATTTGATTATTTCTACCTGAATTTTATTCAAGATATGTATATCTACATGTGTGTTTATTTGATTATTTCTACCTGAACTTTATTCAAGATATGTATATCTATGTGTGTTTTGATTTGATTATTCCTACCCAAACTTTATTCAAGATATGTATATTTGTGTGTTTATTTCTACTTGAACGTTATTCAAGATATGTATATCTATGTGTGTTTATTTGATTCAAGATTTCACTTTATTTTACTTTCATGGTAAATTTTATGCACTTGGCTTTAGGCTTATTATACCAACACCCAATACAGTAAAATCATAATGGGCAGACAGTAAGCGAACTATTCTATCTGGATAAATGCATTTTGGCTTTTATTCAAGAGAAATTGAGCATGACTTGATGTGACACAAACTGTCTTCTATATAGGTATATTTACATAATTGTAGGTGTTTATTGCACCTAGATTATTTTTTTTTTACCTTGTTTGTACATTTATTATGCATGTTACTGTATCTTTAATTTTTGAAAAGTCATGCTTCCTGTTTGTAGAATTTTCTAAAATGATGCATACACTGGTCCAGCAGAAACGTTTGGAGGGTAGAAATATAAAGCTGAGAAAGTGTGTTTATATGAAAGTTGTGTCATTAAATATAATTTTCCATCAATGATAAACTTGCTCTGATATAAAGCTTGAAGAATAAAAAAAGTTTTGGTTCAGTTTTTATAATATGGATTATCTTGTAAAACTTTCTTCCAGTAATTAATGTAGTAAAAAAGAACTTTTGATATCGAAATCGCTTGTTTCTGTTGGTTTGTTTGTACAGGAAGTATCTATGATATGAGAGTTTAGTTATAGATTACTTGATGTTTATTGTAGTATCTTGTGTGTGTGAGAAAAATATGACTTTGCTTTACTTTCAAGCTTAGTTACAAGATTATTTATTTGAACAATGTACATGATAGTGTGAAGTGGTTTCAAGGTCAATTTCAAGTTTGTTTAAAGGTTGAGTGGATAGTGGGACAGATATGTGTGTATGTAGTTACAAGATAACAAAGAAATCTTTGTAGTATAATTCATTGTGTATTTTTTGTGACTTAATTCAAAACCTTATCACTGTAGTATTAATGTATCCTGAAGTGTTTTATTTATTCCAGATTATCTGACATGTATAGTAAGTGTAAGAACACCATAAGTTACTATGTTTGTACTTATTATGGCTTCCTAATTTATTATTAAGATCAAAATAATTGCTTCAATTTTGTGACAAACATTTCACCATAAAACAGCATAACACAAGATTCTTGAACTTAAAAAAATATTATTAATGCATATGCAAGGCAGTTTGAAATTGGGGTTGTGAGGACCCCCTCCTTCAAAAATTAAAGTTCTTGAAATTTGACTTCTACATTAAACAAGACAAGGGTTCATGGTATGGGAAATGTTGTAAAGTTTAAACAGTTAATGTTTATGATGAAGGTTCTAAGTTTGGCCCCTGGGAAATGTTGTAAAGTTTAAACAGTTAATGTTTATGATGAGAGTTCTAAGTTTGGCCCTTGGGAAATGTTGTAAAGTTTAAACAGTTAATGTTTATGATGAG